TCTTGCCACGTTTTTCCTGGTGTTTTTGCTGTCAGGTTCATCAGACATCTCTGTGGTGCAGCGAAACCTGTGAGCCGCAAGGTGTGCGACAGATGGTGAGTTTTCCTATCAGACTGTGTGCCATGATTAAGTTTGTTGGATTTTTCATGAATGTGTATATATATATATATACACATATACATATATATATATATACATATACACGCACATGTATGATACATACATATTCAGATTGAGAAGAGGTCATCAACCCAGGAAAGTGGCCATTCAGAATAAGCGCTCATGCTATCAGCTAGTTATCGAGGTCACCGACATTTTAGGTTTATGCTGACTTCATGTTGGGGTGTATTGTTCACACGAAACCTGTTTTTTCAAATGGGTTGCTCCGAGTCTTCGTGGTTTATGAGCATGCACCCAATGTAAGGTCAGGTGTCCGAAAGTGGCTGTCGTGTCAGCCGCCCAGGCGCGATTCCGAACACCATTGGTTGCTTGTAAGTCTAAAGTTGTTCGTGCGAAAAAAAAAATCTGAAACACGTCTATCAGTGTTCCATAGAAAGCATCCGGAGGCAATGTGATTTCAGTGAGATAGACTAAAATGTCTTCTTGAGAGAAGAATCAGTGGTTGCTAAGCCTTGATGGTTTCTGGGGAAATCATGCCATGTGTTGTGTAGTGTATTTCCAATTAACGCTGCGTTGTTGGTGACAGCTGTTTTGGCACGAAGCTCATTGCAGCAGCGCAACTGGCAGGGAGATGGCTGAGGTGGAAGAAGTTCAAGATTCTCCCGTGGATGGGCCACCCGTGGCTTCTGAGGAGACAGTCGTGTCCCCGAAGAAGAGAGCCAGGAGAGTCTCGGCTGCGCAGCCGGCAAAGACTGTGGCTACAGTCGGAGCAGTGGCTGAGTTGTTCCAGCTCAAGAAAGGGGATTTGGTGACGGTGGCGGGCTTCATCATGGAGATGTACGAGACGAAAGAAGTCAAGGCGAGTCATGCCATGGCGCGTCATGTCATGGCAGCAGCCTTTGGGGACCACTCAGCAATTGTTCAGCTGAATGTGTGGAGCCCTTTGCTCGAGAAAATCGAGAAAGATCTTCGAGCTCGCTATGAGAGCACTCCGGACTCGTTTCCTGGCGTGAAGCTGGTGAACTTTGAGATTGTGCCCTTGGGCCTTGGGAATGAAAACAAGCCGGTGGTGAAACTGCAAAGTACTCGCCAGAGCCAGGTGCAAGTCTTGAATGGGGCCGTGGTGATCATGAAGCCGGACCCTGCGGTCGTGACTTCGGACTTTGCAAATGTGGGCGCTGTTGGAGAAGTTTTGAACCTTCGTGGCGTTGTCCAGGAAGTGGGCGCGATTGAGTATTCGAAGGCGGACAAGGCCATGAAATCGTTCAAATTGGTCGATCAACAGGGCCGGGCTGTGCCAATGAAGCAGCACGGCGAAGGTGTCTTGGAGGAGGGGATTCAGGAGCTGGCGGAGGTCATCGTTTGGGCAGCCTTGGGCCGAGAGGCTCTGACGCACCCATCTCGGGAAGCCGACGAGGAGAATGGTGCGTACTGGCTGTTTTCAGAGGACTATGTGCTGGTGATCAAAGAGCAAGCTCAGAAAGTGGCTATCAAGGAAGTTCGCATCGTGGCCTGAGATGGGCTTGTCGAAACATGTGGCAGGTTGCTTGTTCGAAATTGTCTTTTTTGATGTTTGCAGCTGGCGCGACAAGCGCGGTAGCTGCGAGCAGGAATGGCAATGCATTGCTGAAGACCCCGAACCTGGCATGTCGGAAAAAGAGTCGGAAACTAAGACACTCGAACCTGAACAGACTCCAAGTTTGTTTTTGGTAGGAAGCAGAGGTGGCAAGGCGTTGGAAAACGCATGTTGTTTGATCAAACAGTGGGGCCACGCGTGTTCATGCAGCTTGGCCAGGTGTCCAAAACTGGCTGTGTTTCAACGAGTCCAGGCGTGATTCCAGCTGCACAGCGTGTTCGTTTGTGTTCACAGAAACCATGTTTGCTATGTAGGGATACACATACTGTGTATGCATATGTATTTATACATACATAGGATAATTGTGAGGCTACAATGGTATATGTACATACATACATCTATCTATGTAGATAATATATATATATATATGTATTTTTACTTATTATAAAAAACCCAACAATATTATATATATATACAAATACATACATATATATATATACAGACACATATACATATGTACATGCATAGATCACCAATAGGTGACATGAAGGGATAACGATGCTAAACCAGTGAATGGAATGGGGCCACATGCTGAGGTTGCAATCCCAAAAGAAATAGAGCGAAATCCACCACCAGAAAAGATTTATGTGTATTCATGCCCTTTTTGCCAAAAATCTGTTACTACTTCAATTGCTTCCGGACATGTCAACCACCGCCGCGTGTGTGGGAGACAATTTCGCGTGCAGGATGGAATTCTTCGGCCGACGCTGCTGACAACCCACTTTTCGCACACATGCCCTACTTGTGGAACCTGCGTCCAAAGCACCAAAGAATTTGGGCGAATCCAAAGCAAACACAAAAAATCCAATGGCCGTGTGTGCTCCCGAACGGAATGGCACGCAAAGTAGCAACAAACGACCTCTTGTCTGCTTCAGCTCTCAGCATGAAAACTTTCTGCTGCTGCTGCCGCGGCAAAAGCTTCTGCTGCTGTTGTTGCTACTGCTGCGGATCTTCTATTTGTTGCTGTTACTCCTCCTCCTGCTAGCAAGCAAATAACTTTGCTTCTGTTGCCTGCGGCTGCTCGCAGTAAAACAGCTTCGAAAAAATGGGCTCACGGAAGGCAAACACCATGGCTCTGAAGGACGAGCTAGTTCCAAACCCACGCCAAAAAACTTCCTAACGTCCCGTCTGAAATCCTAGAAAAACAACCTATTCGAGAGATTCGAAAGATTCTGTTGCCTGCGACTGCTCGCAGTAAAACAGCTTCGAAAAAATCAGCTCCCGGCAGGAAAACACCATGGCTCTAAAGGACGAGCTAGTTCCAAAACCACGCCCAAAAACTCCCTAACGTCCCGTCTGAAATCCTAGAAAAACAACATTTTTCCAGAGATTCTGTTGCCTGCGGCTGCTAGCAGTAAAACAGCTTCGAAAAAATCAGCTCCCGGCAGGAAAACATTATGGCTCTGAAGGACGAGCTAGTTCCAAAACCACGCCCAAAAACTCCCTAACGTCCCGTCTGAAATCCTAGAAAAACAACATTTTTCCAGAGATTTCCAGAGATTCTGTTGCCTGCGGCTGCTAGCAGTAAAACAGCTTCGAAAACATCAGCTCCCGGCAGGAAAACACCATGGCTCTGAAGGACGAGCTAGTTCCAAAACCACGCCCAAAAACTCCCTAACGTCCCGTCTGAAATCCTAGAAAAACAACATTTTTCCAGAGATTTCCAGAGATTCTGTTGCCTGCGACTGCTAGCAGTAAAACAGCTTCGAAAAAATCAGCTCCCGGCAGGAAAACACCATGGCTCTGAAGGACGAGCTAGTTCCAAAACCACGCCCAAAAACTCCCTAACGTCCCGTCTGAAATCCTAGAAAAACAACATTTTTCCAGAGATTCCAGAGATTTCCAGAGATTCTGTTGCCTGCGACTGCTAGCAGTAAAACAGCTTCGAAAAAATCAGCTCCCGGCAGGAAAACACCATGGCTCTGAAGGACGAGCTAGTTCCAAAACCACGCCCAAAAACTCCCTAACGTCCCGTCTGAAATCCTAGAAAAACAACATTTTTCCAGAGATTCTGTTGCCTGCGGCTGCTAACAGTAACACAGCTTCGAAAAATTCAGCTCCCGGCAGGAAAACACCATGGCTCTGAAGGACGAGCTAGTTCCAAAACCACGCCCAAAAACTCCCTAACGTCCCGTCTGAAATCCTAGAAAAACAACATTTTCCAGAGATTTCCAGAGATTCTGTTGCCTGCGACTGCTAGCAGTAAAACAGCTTCAAAAAAATCAGCTCCCGGCAGGAAAACACCATGGCTCTGAAGGACGAGCTAGTTCCAAAACCACGCCCAAAAACTCCCTAACGTCCCGTCTGAAATCCTAGAAAAACAACATTTTTCCAGAGATTCTGTTGCCTGCGGCTGCTAGCAGTAAAACAGCTTCGAAAAAATCAGCTCCCGGCAGGAAAACATTATGGCTCTGAAGGACGAGCTAGTTCCAAAACCACGCCCAAAAACTCCCTAACGTCCCGTCTGAAATCCTAGAAAAACAACATTTTTCCAGAGATTTCCAGAGATTTCCAGAGATTCTGTTGCCTGCGACTGCTAGCAGTAAAACAGCTTCGAAAAAATCAGCTCCCGGCAGGAAAACACCATGGCTCTGAAGGACGAGCTAGTTCCAAAACCACGCCCAAAAACTCCCTAACGTCCCGTCTGAAATCCTAGAAAAACAACATTTTTCCAGAGATTCTGTTGCCTGCGGCTGCTAGCAGTAAAACAGCTTCGAAAAAATCAGCTCCCGGCAGGAAAACATTATGGCTCTGAAGGACGAGCTAGTTCCAAAACCACGCCCAAAAACTCCCTAACGTCCCGTCTGAAATCCTAGAAAAACAACATTTTTCCAGAGATTTCCAGAGATTTCCAGAGATTCTGTTGCCTGCGACTGCTAGCAGTAAAACAGCTTCGAAAAAATCAGCTCCCGGCAGGAAAACACCATGGCTCTGAAGGACGAGCTAGTTCCAAAACCACGCCCAAAAACTCCCTAACGTCCCGTCTGAAATACACCGTGGCTCTGAAGGTCGAGCTAGTTCGAAAGCCACGCCAAAAAAGTCTCTAACGCCTCGTCTGAAATCGTAGAAAAACAACATTTTTCGTCTTATTCCCTGGCGCGCTCCCCCTTGCGTCTGCCGGGGTCGGCGGATATGATGTCCGGGAACCACATCATTGAGGAAATATCATGCTAGATGCGAGATTCACATTCACCATGGCATTTCAAGGCTTCAATGTGAAAACCCGAAGTGACGCACTCCGCAGGAGAAGTATGGTGCAGTGCTGGTCAGGACCTCATGCGCCGACTGCGGTTATTTGGAAGTTTCTCAGATTACTGCAATTGCGAGTCTTTTCGAACAACCCAGCGAGGAATTCCACCAAAAAGAACGGGTTACATGTCTCTTCCAGGTCTTGTGTTGTAGGCCCTTCACGTCATCCCTTCTCTTCTCGTGTGTCTACATTCTTGGGATGGCTCAACTATCCCTGGCCCAGGTGTTGGATGAGAGCCTCTCCTTTGGCGTCTTGGGAGACAAAGGTCTTGGCCTGTGCGAGATGGCCAAGGTCTCCCCCAGCAAGGTGCGGCACGCAGCGGTACGGTGCCCGACCCAGCCCCAGGGCGGCAGGGCGCGCTGCCCAGGTGGATGCCATCATGGGTTCCCTGGAGTTGGCCGTGGCTGGTGTGGGGGGCTTTTGCGCTGGACGTCACTTGACCGCAGCTGTTGTTTTGCAGCCTTTTAAACTCAGGGGTCCATGGTCACTGGTCACTGGTGGCCATTGGTGATCACTGGCCTCATCATCGGTCATTGGAGTCTTTGCTTGGCATCATTTATCATCACTGACATGGCATCATCAGCAACAGCATCAGCATCATCATCATCATCATCATCAGCATCAGCATCAGCATCAGCATCATCATCATCGTCATCGTCATCGTCATCGTCATCATCATCATCGTCATCGTCATCGTCATCGTCATCGTCATCGTCATCGTCATCGTCATCGTCATCGTCATCGTCATCGTCATCACCATTACCGTCATCACCATTACCATCATCATCATCATCATCATCGTCATCATCGTCATCATCATCATCATCATCATATGTCATCACGATATCACGATCATTAATCATTAAGGTCCTAAAAATTGTAAAAAACATCAACATCTTGTAACATCCTCATGTTTTCGGGCTGGTTTCCCAACTGGCGCCTAAGGTCGCGGGCTGGTGGACCACCAGCGATTAGCAGGTGCCAGTAAGTGCCTGCTGGGTGTTAACGCGGGGGCGCTGGAAGGCATTGAGCTCGGAAGATTTACCATCAACACAACAGCCATACTGGAATCTGAGACTTGCCATTTTCCTTAGAAAAAACTCAAACACATTCACTTTGAGTGCTGGAACTGAGCACAGAACCGAGTTTGCTTGATACCACACCATCATTGATCATATTTTATATTATTTCATCATCACAAGTAGCTGGCTGTCGCGTCATAGCTGCGGCCCTTCGTTTCGCTTCAAGGCGCCGGCTACTGTTTTTCCGCCTCCTGCCCACCTTCAGCCTGCTCTGCCGCCAAGGCGGGAAGTGAAGTTACGGAACAAATTTGGTGACCCCGGTGACCCCTCAATCCACAGAATTTTCGGGTAACTTTTCAATGTATACTGTACGGTATACCTTTTAAATCCGTTTAACCGTTTAACCGTATCTTCACAGCCGATCTCCAGGCCCATCGTCATGTCAATGTTCTGTTCCATGAAATGCCATGGTTGTAGCCATAGGTCATTTCTGCAATTTCTAAGGTTTTGCTTGAGTTTCCAGGTGTCGCGCAATGGTTAGAGCAGGTCTTGAAATATAGAAAAACCTGTGATATCATGGAGCAATTGCTGGTGAAAGAACCTACAAAACCAGGCAGTTGACCGTCTGCATAATGTGGCGCTGAAGTCGCAAACATCATGGCGCTGAATCATTGCAACCATTGTGGCTCAAAGGATCACGAAGGGTTGATCAATTGCCACCCGGGTGTCAAGCCGCGACTTATCAGGCGCGGCTAGTCCCTCCAAGGGTGGGGCTGTCTTGGCGGTACCCCCATTCGGGGGGGTAGGTGGAGAGTGCCTGGTGCATCCTTGTGCTGATTGAAGAATGCAGGGTTCTCGGGTCCCGTGGCAATTTATGGAGAGGAAGAGAGAAAGACCTCAAATTCTGGGGCTGAAAATTCGTCAACCTTTGCTGGTTGGATTCTGCAATTGCTACTAAATCTACTAAGGGGATGCGTCATCAGTAAGATGTCAACCTCAGAGATTTGGAAGCCGCAACGTGCTTCGCAGGCCAACATGGATGACGAGGGGGAGAATGAGTTTGTGAGCGAGCAGGTCAATGAAATTGTGAAGGTTGCTTTTTGGCTGCATTTCCATGCTTCATGGTCTTCAGTGCTGCAATCTCAAAGGGAAGAGCCTATGAAGATCAGCCCAGAACTGGGCCCTGCATATGATCAGAGTGACCAGGGAAAACCATTGATTTGATTACAAATGAAGTTGGACATCCATGAACAGGGGCAAGACGATTTGACAATTTGACGGAGGCCCCAATGCAGATGATGTGAAGATAGAATGTTTGCACCGGATGGTGAAATGGCAAGGCCATCACCAAGACCTTGGGCGGCTCTTCCTACAACAAGGTGCCACGGGGATGGCTGGAGAGCCAAGTTTGGTGGATACCAGCAGCAAATATGGGGATGAAACTTACAGTAATATATCTTGATGTATCTTGATATATCTTGATGTACTCGTATCTTCATGTATCTTGATATTGTGTATAATTATATATATAATTATATATATACATGTATATATATATATATATATATACATGTATATACACATGTGATACTGGTACAATATATACTATAGAACATAGAAACAAAACAGCTGGGGTGTCACAGGCAATCACAGATCGTTGATGTCTGGGTGCTCCAGGACAGAGTCTCGACCTGGTGCAGCCAGATCATTGACGAGTGCCTGAAGGATGCCCTTCAGGGTGAACACGGCAGGGTTACCCTCTGGTAAACTAACATAACTATGGAAAATCACAATTTTTAATGGGAAAACTCACTATAAATTGCCATTTTCAATAGCTATGTTAAATTACCAGAGGGTATCAGAATTGGGAGCACCAACAAAAACCGTGGTTTATCACCATTTTATCACCATTTTTTCCATGAAGGTTTGGTGAAATCGTCCCGGGAGATGGATGTAGAAAAAAGCTCTGAACTTGATCAAGTTTGTTACAGTTGGGTACTGTGGACACTGAATCCCAAATGTTTTGAAGCATGTTCAAGTTGACCTACAAGGAAGGTCTGGGAAAGGCTGCATTATTCTCCACGTTTGAAACGCCTGTGGCGGTTCAATGCTTCAAGTAACTCGAGGAGTTGGCAAAGCTCAACAAGCCGTTCAAGACGCTTGCTACAAGTTGCGGTCACCTGTGGTGCCATCAGGTGCTTAAACATCATTTGAGGAAAACCGAGGGGTCTTACAATTTCTAGCTAGCTATACTCATATGTATATATATATATGGAATTGTATGCTATAATATATATATATTACGTGTATATATATATATATATCTAATATAGGTATATTGTGAAAGGATTTAATCGCAAAGGATTGAACAGAATTGCTTCTGTGGTGCAGTGACCTGTTTGGCAAGGTCTTGGACCGCATCTAATGGTCCCTTCCAAGGTACGTGGTGACCAGCATCATTATGCAGAAGAACGGTGCACCCTTGCATACAGGGTAACTTGGTGCCCAGTTTCTGGGGTAAAGGTTGAAGTCGGGCTCTCCCAATTTTGGTGTTTTCCTTCCAGAACTTGAAATTCTGAAGCAAACCCGTCCGGGCCTATTGTTTGAAATGGTGAACAAACATGTACGCGGTGTAAGTGATTGAGAGTATAGAAACTGTCTTCTGTTTGAGTGACATCCTGTCGTTTTGGGAGCTGCTAATTTTTGGGTGTCCAGCACTTCCAAGGTTGGCCTTGTATTGGGACACCAAGACGGATGGGACTTCTTGCGTGCAGGTGCGGCTGTCAAACATTTTTTCACCTTAGGAGACTTTGAGCATCAGAACTTGCGGGATGACCCCTTTTCCGCACAAAAAAGGGGAACTGTGGACACCCGGATGAGCTGATGGACATGCTGAGGTGGGCACAGACACCATGGACTGCATCACAACAGCCTGCAGCCCAGATGTGAACCTTGGGTTGGCTCAGATTTCTCCGTTTCAATAGCCAACGTCGTGGAAAGTGGCTAAAGGATGCTAAAGGACGCATGCCTGTCAACTGGCTTCGTTTTTTTTCCAGAGCTTTTCGGGATTTTTGTCCTAACTGCCCATGTTTGACCAAGCTTCGTTTCAAGCTTCAACCAGCCCTTTGCTCAGGTCTTTGCATGCATGATCTGAGATTCAAATGACCCGGGCAGTTGTGCAAATCTAAATCGATGGAACACAGTTACAAAGGTCAACATATGAAAAGAACACAGCACATGAGAACACATTGTACACTCTGGTGAACTAACGTAGCAACCACTTTTCCAGGTTTAATGAAATTGATTTCCATGTTAGTTTTCAGGATAAATGGCCATTACTCAGCACTTTCGGTTGCCATGTTAGCCATTATTTTTAAGTAGAGATCCCCAGGAGATCCCGCAGATGATCCCCCAGATGATCCCCAAGAGATCCCCCAGATGATCCCCAAGAGATCCCCCAGATGATCCCCAAGAGATCCCCCTAGATGATCCCCAAGAGATCCCCCAGATGATCCCCAAGAGATCCCCCAGATGATCCCCAAGAGATCCCCCTAGATGATCCCCAAGAGATCCCCCAGATGATCCCCAAGAGATCCCCCAGATGATCCCCAAGATGATCCCCAAGAGATCCCCCAGATGATCCCCAAGAGATCCCCCAGATGATCCCCAAGATGATCCCCAAGAGATCCCCCAGATGATCCCCCAGAACTTTACCCTCTGGTGAACTAACATAGCAATGGAAAATTGCCATGTTAGGCGGGGTAGGTTTAAGTAAATCTCTGGTAAACTAACATAGCTATGGAAAATCGCCATGTTTTATGGGAAACGTCACTATAAGTGGCAATTTTCAATTGCTATGTTAGTTTACCAGCGGGGTAATCAATGATGAGCAAGGATCAAACAGAGGGCTGACAGGCGAGAGTGGCTGGGCTTGATGCTGGTAAACTAACATAGCAATGGAAAATCACTATTTTTAATAGGAAAACCCACTATAAACTGCAATTTTCAATTGCTATGTTAGTTTACCAGGTAACGTGGATTCCTGGATACTGTTTTATGGACCTTGAGGAAACAAAGCTTCTCAGTTGCCATGTTAGGCGGGGTAGGTTTAAGTAAATCTCTGGTAAACTAACATAGCTATTGAAAATCGCCATGTTTTATGGGAAACGTCACTATAAGTGGCAATTTTCAATTGCTATGTTAGTTTACCAGCGGGGTAATTAATGATGAGCAAGGATCAAACAGAGGGCTGACAGGCGAGAGTGGCTGGGCTTGATGCTGGTAAACTAACATAGCAATGGAAAATCACTATTTTTAATAGGAAAACCCACTATAAATTGCAATTTTCAATTGCTATGTTAGTTTACCAGGTAACGTGGATTCCTGGATACTGTTTTATGGACCTTGAGGAAACAAAGCTTCTCAGTTGCCATGTTAGGCGGGGTAGGTTTAAGTAAATTTAGGTAACCTTATTTTGGAAAAAGTGTTTCAGTTGCTATGTTAGGGTCTTCCTTCTGGTGTTTTCAGTGGGTATTTGGCTTTCGGCAATTGCTATGTTAGGCTGTTACTTGGGGTGTTTTTCACTTTAAATTTGAATGTCATTCCCTGATGTAAAAAGCGTTTCCTATTGCTAGGTGCATTTTGGGGATTTCTGGCCTGGAATCGTTTACAATTGCCATGTTAGTGGACGCAAAAAAGGTTTACAATTAACACGTTAGTTCACCGGAGAGTAACACATGAACTCAAAAAATTGGAGCTCTATGTTTGAAACTCGGACCTACGTAAAATCGAGAGCAGCTCAACAGATTCTGCACAGATACAGACCGATACTCTAAGAATACACTATGACAGCTACATAGTGTGCTGGAAGAAAGGCTTCACTGCCAATCAATGACCTGCCAGTCTCACGCGCATCTCACCCGCTTGACCAAGAAGCTGCGAGTGCAAGCGGTGCACGGACCAGAACTTCGCACATGAGGGATGGTCAAAAATTCGTGCCATGCTGCTATAGGACACTGAAATTATAGCCTATGTGGCAACTACAAGAATGATGAATTATGTCTTGACATGATGCATCAAGTCTCCATAGACTCTCGACATCTCTCGACACTTGTCGGCGAAGGGTTATTTGGCGTGGCCGGATGATTTGACCATGCCTCCAATGTTCGCCACCCGAGAAAAAAGACTTGCGGTCAAAATGGCCGCCTTTCTGGCTTCGACGGTCTTTGACACTGGCTTAGGAAGAGCCTTGAGGCCTTGAGGTCCAAGTTTTTTGGTCCAAGTTTTTGGGACATAGCCTGCCCCAAATCGCTCAATCATCATATGATATTTCCCATCCCCATCAGCCATCTTCAGGCTATGCCCCATTTCCACACCAGAACTGCTCCCAGTGCCTTCCAGGCGACCATGAAGGACTTGTCTTCCACTTCGCGGCGGCAAAGATTGCAGGAACGGAAATGGGGCAGCTGCTCACAACGATAATCCATCCACAGTTCCGTTCCTGGGTCAGAAGAGAACTGCATGGTTTAGGTAATAGACATAGATGTTATATAGATAAGATCAGTTTTGGATGTTTTTCGTAGTTTTTTTCACCAGTTGTATGGTTTTAGGAATGAGCGAAGTCTACAGAGCCGGTGGATTTTCACGTTTGACCTGCTGGACGGTGTGAAAGAAGTGCTCTACCCATCGGAAGGGAAGGTAGCAAAGCATGTCCAAAACCCCCATGCATAGGCACCACGATGAGTGCAGAGCTTGCTTCTTTGAAAAAAGTAGGTGATATTTTTGGAAAGTTGTCTCCAGGAAGCTCAGGATATCTCAGGATATTTGGGGCCAGAATTCGCCGCACCCATTTTGTCAACGATGATTCAATTGTCGATGACCTCAGAGCCTCTAACTCGAAGTGCTCTCTTTACTTGGCCGTGCCGTTGGAAATTTGGTGGATTCCTGGTGTTGATTGAAACGGCCATTTCGTCCAGGCCAACACAAAAAGCTTGCACCAGACATTGATGGAAGTGACCAAGGTGCTGTGACTTAGGATTTGGGATGGTTCACCGGCCCGAAAACATGATTTCGATGCATATCTTTTTTGGTGTCACCCATTTCAAAGCACTTTTTCCAATATGTTTTGAAACGATCCAGGTTTTAGAGTCAAGACTTTGAACTCTTTTTGTTTGAATCATAAACACCAAGATGGATTGACCCTTTACTACACAAACACATGAATATACAGTAATTAATATACATGGAAACCAGCAATAAATAAACTTTGTCTTTGACAAACAGCAGCAAAATTGTCTGTAGGAAAAGCAACACAAGCCTTTCCCTGGAAAACATGTGTTGGAGAAAAGCTTTGTCCAGGCGGTTTTGCTCTCTTCGGTTCATAAGCTTGTTGTTTCGTGAACTACATGAGCTGTTTCTGCAGTTTCGGACCATGCAGAAGGGCAGAAGATCTTACTTTCTATTTTACGGATCATGGTCAATCCATACCCTTTAGTTCCAGGACATCTCGAAGGATTGAGACATGACGCACCCTTTTGCCAGGGCAATTCTTCCGTGGAACTTGTCAGCTGCGGAAAACTCAGTTTATGTCGATGAGCTGTCCCATTTTCTGAATGTAGGACCGCACAAGGCATGTGGGTATGGGTCAATACCTATAGATACATTTTGAGTGGGTTATTCACATCCATAAATCCCAGCTATGACTTGGGGTTCACCAGGGGTACTATTGGTTTTGACCCATCCCCATGTCTCTTGTGCACAAGGCTGGAACATCATCAGCCTCCCACCGTCTTGAGGTCCAGAGTCCTTTCTTCAGCAGCTGCGATGTAGGCGAGACCGGACAGCCGTTTTCGAGAATCTAACTATGGAAAATCACCATGCTATTAATGGGAAAATCCACTATTAATGGTCATTTTCAATAGCTATGTTAGTTTACCATAGGGTAGCCAATCTTTTGGGCTAAAAACCTTGAGATACCTCTCAGCGATTTTCACCTCGCGAGGCAAAGCGATGGTGCCGAGGCCATTGGTGCGACAGGGTGGGGGAAACTTTTGGTCCTCAAAATGGTCCGCAGATAAACCATCATCTCCCATCACATCAACATACCCCATCAACCATAGCAACATCTCAACCATAAATTCAGGATAAAGTTCGATGCTGGGACATAGATCATAACTGCCAAGGTGGATGTGGGGTCGTCGTTCCTGCCACAGGAACGCATTTTGGAGCTGAATCGGCACTTGAAAAAGATGAGCTTACACGCTCAGGCCTCTTGTTGGTTGGGTTAGACACTGCCCAGATCAAGAGCAACTATGATTCAATCAGTGCAGATAGGATGCTTGACCGATTTGCGGCGTTTTATCATGTTTTGTGCAATCTATTGTTTAGACATTTTACTCGTTTCTGATGAACGTTGCTTCTCAAACCGTTTTCTACCCGCAAAACACCACGAAATTTCATCCAAATCTCAGAGCCGCTGACGATGAGAGTCAGGATTGATACAGGATTCGATAGCGGACCGGGTCATGGCGGTCCATAGCTTTCACTTGCTGAAATTATATGAATTTATATTCAGCTATCTCAAGTCTTTGGCATTCTTGTAGTTTGCCAATTTTCCGAAATGGAGCCTCCAACTATTCTATGCTTCAAAAGCTTCAAAAAGGCCATAATTTCATCATATTTTTCTCAATCTTGCCAGAATTTTCAGCAGGTTTGCTCGCCCAGTCAGTGCGGTGCCGAAGGAGACTCTCAAAGATAGCGTCCTGCAAAAGGCTCTTGCAATCTGATGGTTTCTAGATGTTTCTAGTATGATGAATGTATGATTAATGTAATATTCATGTAGTATTAATGTTATGACTTTACATACTTTACATTATTTTGCCCAGTAATAGTTGATTGATGCCCAGTCTGTTTTGTGCTATGGGTGCTTCGCATTGCTTCCTCACTCGGATCTTCCAGGATCCTTTGATGCTCGTCTGGGAGCGCGGCAGGCTGAAACTCTGTGGCGGGGGAGAAGATCCAAAAAATGACACCATGCTGGAGGAAATCTACCAGAATATGGGGGTGGGTCAAGAGTCAAAACCTATTTATTATCAATTCTAATGGGATGAAGATCCATAAATCCCAGCTATGACTTGGGGTTCACGAATGGTGCCAGGGTTTTGACCAATAGTCATATCAAGAATCAAAGACCTGAGATGTTTAGGATCCACAGATATCCACAGATACAGTATGATACACTAATGTGATAAACTCATGATAATTAACCTCTAAACTTTGACTGTCTATACCCATCTATTTCCGGTGATATTGGAGGCGGTGTATTCTTGCGTTTACCACATTATATCTATGAACATCCATGACACTTGCTGGCACGGGCAGGCAGCGGTGCCCAGCCTGCGCTTTTGCGCCACGTCGGAACACTCCTCGGAGGATTACGCAAGGCTCAAGGAGGCGCCCCGCGGTGGAGGATCACGTTGTCCCAAAGGTTTCGTGAAGGTATGTACAGGACGGGGCAGCACCTTAGATGGAGCAGATATGGAACATGTCGCACGGGGAGCGGGCATTTCAGATGCTCCATGGGTTGACTTAGACTCTTGATTTAAGGCTGTTGTCCTGACATATCTGACATACACCATTCTGCACCTGGTTGCCAGGCTTTGCAAAGTGCTTTGCGATGAGTGCTTCAACCTGCGACGGACCGCTGACTCGATGTTTTTGCCTCGATGGGCGCCTGCAGCGGCTTGCAGAAAAGCGTCCGAGCGTCCTCGGGCTCTAATAGTTCTGGGGCCCGGACCTTGGGAATGTAATGTGCCGCAAGCATTAGCATCGAGCTGCGAGGAAAAACAAAGGTCTAGGGAGGTGGAAGATCAAGAAACATGAAACAATGTACAAACATGTCAGGTCTGATTCATATCCCACAATGACATTTGCAAGTCTGAAGCTTTCTTTACGATCCAGGAAGTTGTTTGCGCTGGAAAAAAGTGACCTTGACCTAGACATTACCCTCTGCGATGACCAGGGGGGCTTCTGCATTTCCAGGGAGTTCCGTGAACGAACTCCTCCTTTTGCCGCATAATCTTATCTTCCAAAAGGAAGCTAATTTGCCTGAGGGGCCGACGCTCCTCAGCCATGTCCGCAAATCATGTCCGCAAGAGACGTAAAGTGCGCGCAGCGGCACACAGTGCGTGCGCAAGAGCCTAAACTTCAACAGGTTTCAGCCAGTCGGTTGAAGTGAAAGTATGTGAAAGTCACTTGCAGTGAGATCTGGACAGAATTCAATTGCCCTGAACATGTTTATACATGAATGCTGTGGTGTTGTCTTCTCTTGCTGCCAATCTTTTTCCAGAGGGCCCAGGGCCCCCCAGCAATGGCCAGGTTTGTACCACCAAGTTACCACCTTCTGATGAGGCGGGACTGGACATGGAAAAAATTACTTTACTTCGTGTGATCCCCACCATGACATTTATACATTTTCTTACTGGCAAATCTTCTGGCATTCTATCTGACATATCTTCTGACATTCTATTTGGCATTCTATCTTGCATATCTTCTGGCATATGATCTGGCATATCTTCTGGCATATCTTCTGGCATTCTATCTGGCAAATCTTCTGGCATTCTATCTGGCATATCTTCTGGCACTCTATCTGACATTTTATCTGGCATTCAATCTGGCATTCTATCTGGCATATCTTCTGGCATATATTCTGACATATCTTCTGGCATTCTATCTGGCATATCTTCTGGCATATCTTCTGGCATTCTATCTGGCAAATCTTCTGGCATTCTATCTGGCATATCTTCTGGCATTCTATCTGACATATCTTCTGGCATATCTTCTGGCATATCTTCTGGCATTCTATCTGGCAAATCTGATGCATTCTATCTGGCATATCTTCTGGCATTCTATCTGACATATCTTCTGGCATTCTATCTGGCATTCTATCTGGCATATATTCTGACATATCTTCTGGCATTCTATCTGGCATTCTATCTGGCATATCTTCTGGCATATTATCTGGCATATCTTCTGGCATATCTTCTGGCATATCTTCTGACATTCTTTCTGACATTCTTTCTAACTTTCTTCTGCACTTTCTTTGTCCCATATCTTCCTACATGAGGTCCGGCAGGGAACACTGGGCGCGGATGGTCGCGGTTGAGGTCCGGCAGGGAACACTGGGCGCGGATGGTCGTGGTTGAGGTCCGGCAGGGAACGCTGGGCGCGGATGGTCGTGGTTGAGGTCCGGCAGGGAACACTGGGCGTGGATGGTCGTGGTTGAGGTCCGGCAGAGAACACTGTGGATCGCGGGTCGCAGTTGGACGAGGACGACGAGGACGACGAGGACGACGAGGACGACAAGGACGACAAGACAAGGAGGACGAGGAGGACGAGGAGGAGAGGAGGAGGAGGAGGACGAGGCAGGAGGAGGCAACTGACATAAAATCTAACAACCCTCACCTGGCAGGTGGGGAATTGGGAAACTCAGGGGCGGCCGGCCAGGAAGGCCACTGACATGTGCCAAGACACAAGTCTTCTAAGATTTTCTAAGCAGCTTTCTTATCTTTCTTATTTCTCTTGGTCTTGAACTTGGAGAGTGGTTTAATATGGTTTAATATGGTTTAATCAGAGAGTGGTTCAATTAGATTATGAACGACTATGAACGATTATGATGCTTTTTTCTTCGCATCCAGCTTTCGGAATCGCATTGGATAGGTTTGCCATCTCTTCACGCTCTACAATCGTGCCTGGAGCCCAGCGAATCGACGTCCACGGCCTAGGGATGTCATGGGATATGGATGCCCAGGCAGCCCTAGCGAAACCCTGGTCTCGCATGGTCTCGCTGGGTTGAAAAATCGCTGATCATCGCTCCGAATGCTGTCATCATGGCATATGACTAGGCATGAAAATCATGACATGCTTCAGAGACAGGGTTCTAATATCGTCTAATTGGATCTCGAATGATCTCGACATGTTGACGAGTTTTTATTTTTGTGTAGGGATTTCATTTAGACATTTGATTTGCAGTGTGCATTTAGCAGTGGCCCTTGGCCCACCATGGACCTCTTGAGGCGGATACTCACTGATCGCTTCCAGCTGCTGAGTTATCTGGCAAGCCTGGCTCGCTTGTGGCGGGGTTTAAGAGGTGATCTCCTCAAAGTGGTGCAAGGTGACTGGGAAATCGCAAGATGGGGACGTTCAAAGAGGTGCTTAACTGCTTAAGTGTTTGAAAGTCATTCTTCAATCTCAGTGTGATCAAGCTGTAGCAGCTATACATGATTGATCTTTTGAGAGGCCGCCAGCAAGTAGATAGTTCTTACTGGTAGTATGCGTCTGACTCCACACCGGCATTGCTGTAGTTTTCGGAGACTTCCAGCAGAAAAGTAGGTGATATACATAATATAACTATATATATATATTATATATATATATATTATATACATGTATGTGCATCACATGGTGCTCCAAGCAAATAGAACATGTGAGAAAGGGCCATAGCTTCGAAGCGCAGCTGCATGGACATGTCAGGACTCCTTCTTCCAGTCCTGGAGTTGGGAGCCCAGACATCAGTACTCCATCTTACCAAACGACCTTGAAAACAAGGAAACATTAGCCACCATCACACAAAGTCACAATTCATATTAACATTATGTTACATTCATATTATATTCATACAATTATATACAATTCTAACATGATATCGGCTTAGTTATCATTACTAAATACCGAATTTCTTGAACCGTAAAATATTAGAACGATGATTGGACTATACTGGACTGTATGGATCTCAAAGAAATCAAGATTTCAGCTTGGAGGTCGGGATGCTGCAACATTGGCAGAAAAAAATCAGGAAAACAAATACAACTTCATTAACACTACCCTCTGGTTATTTAACATAGCCATGGAAAATCATCATTTTTCCCCACCTGCCAGGTGAGGGTTGTTAGATTTTATGTCAGTTGCTTCCTCCTCGTCCTCCTCGTCCTCCTCGTCCTCGTCCTCCTCCTTCTCCTCCCTCTTCTCGTCCTCCTTCTCCTCCTCCTCCTCCTCGTCCTCCTCGTCCTCCTCCTGCTCCACAGCGATCCATGTCAGTGTGCCCTGCCGGACCTCAACCACGACCATCCACGTCAGTGTGCCCTGCCGGACCTCAACCACGACCATCCACGCCCAGTGTTCCCTGCCGGACCTCAACCACGACCATCCACGCCCAATGTTCCCTGCCGGACCTCAACCACGACCATCCTCGCCCAGTGTTCCCTGCTGGACCTCAACCACGACCATCCACGCCCAGTGTTCCCTGCCGGACCTCAACCGCGAGTATCCACGCCAAGTGTTCCCTGCCGGACCTCATGTAGGAAGATATGGGACAAAGAATGTGCAGAAGAAAGTTAGAAAGAATGTCAGAAAGAATGTCAGATATGCCAGAAGATATGCCAGAAGATATGCCAGATAGAATGCCAGATAATATGCCAGAAGATATGCCAGATAGAATGCCAGATAGAATGCCAGAAGATTGCCAGATAGAATGCCAGAAAATATGCCAGAAGATATGCCAGATAGAATGCAGAAGATATGCCAGAAGATATGCCAGAAGATATGCCAGAAGATATGTCAGATTATATGCCAGAAGATATGTCAGATAGAATGCCAGAAGATATGTCAGAATATATGCCAGAAGATATGCCAGATAGAATGCCAGATAATATGCCAGAAGATATGCCAGATAGAATGCCAGAAGATTTGCCAGATAGAATGCCAGAAAATATGCCAGAAGATATGCCAGATATATATGCCAGATAGAATGCCAGATTGAATGCCAGAAGATATGTCAGATAGAGTGCCAGAAGATATGCCAGATAGAATGCCAGAAGATTTGCCAGATAGAATCCAGAAGATATGCCAGATCATATGCCAGAAGATATGCCAGATAGAATGCCAAATAGAATGTCAGAAGATATGTCAGATAGAATGCCAGAAGATTTGCCAGTAAGAAAATGTATAAATGTCATGGTGGGGATCACACGAAGTAAAGTAATTAATAGGCAAACCATCTATAAATGGGCCATTTTCCATGGCTATGTTAAATAACCGGATGGTAGAATTGATTAAATATTACTTTGTTGTTTCATTGTACATACGTAAATTGTTTCGGGAAATATACCGGTACATGAGCCGGGGGATTAACTTATCCGAATTATCGTCAATTAACTTTATATGGATCGTTCGTTCACTGCAGATGTATTTTTTGGATTTGGCTTGGAAAACGATAGGAGACGTCCTAAGAACGACAATTATACACTTATCTTACCAGGATTTGGTTGTGACTATATAACAGGGCTTCCAACCATCAGCCCTCCCCGTTGCAAAGTTGGGTCACTAAGTTGGGAAATCCTCTAATCAGAAGTGGACAACTACTATAATCACAAAACTAGTCCTGGCAAAAAAAAATCAAACACCAGTGAAAACCAAACATTTTCCCTTTTTCACTCATTCCCACTAGGGCCACAACCACCAAACTACCCCAGAAACGGGAAAAATATCCAAAACCAATGAAACCATGTTCAACCAGTGAGTTGCTGAAAAGGCAAAAAAATGAAAATATATATTAACTCTTCTTGATCCTGTCTGATTATATTTAAAATTATATTTAAAATTGTACTTTACCTTT